TTATTTCCCTACTTTCTTGAGTGAATTCAGCTTTTCTTAATAATTCATGTTAATCGTTATCAGCATTCTGCAAATACATATTAAGTAGCCCACTATATGCTAAGCACTACAGAAACACCAGAAATACAAAGATGAGCTCAATGTGTTTCTTTTCTGTTTGCCTTCAGGAGTTAAGATTCATAGGGAGTATGAAATAGGAATAGAATTAATTATAGGTCAAGACAGGGGAAAACAGTAGTATAAATAAAAAGTTTAGACAATCAGAAGTGAGAGAGACTTAAGTCCTATTAAGAATAGTTTCCTCAGGAATTGTTATTTGAAATAAATGACACAAGGACAACTGAGTAACCATGTGAAAAAAGATAATATTACATGTGTATCTCATACCTTACACAAGACTGAACTCCAAATGGATTAGGGATCTAAAATGTGAAAACAAAAACAAAGCATATCTAGTAGAAAACATGGATGAATTCTCTAACCTTAATGCAGGGAAAAACTTTCTATAGTGGTTGCTGAAAAGCCAGAGGCAATTTTTTAAAAACAGATTGATAAATTTGATTATACAAAAAAAAAGTTTAATAATTACATGACAAAAAATATAAGAAAGTTAAAGTTAAAAGACAACCAATGAATAAATTGGGAGAAAATATTTACAACATCTAAGAAACTATTAAGGCCGGGAGTGGTGGCTCATGCCTGTAATTCCAGCACTTTGGGAGACCACAGTGGGCAGATCACGAGGTCAGGAGTTCGAGACCAGCCTGGCCAACATAGTGAAACTCCATCTCTACTAAAAATACAAAAAATTAGCCAGCCGTGGTGGTGGGTACCTGTAATCCCAGTTACTCGGGAGGCTGAGGCAGGAGAATCGCTTGAACCCAGGAGGCAGAGGTTGCAGTGAGCAGAGATGGTGCCACTACACTCCAGCCCAGGCAATAGTACAAGACTCCGTCTGGAAAAAAAAAAAAAAATTAAGGGACAAGTGACTAAGACCCAATAGGAAAACTGAAGAAAAGAAAGACATGAATAGGTAATAGGTAAAAAAATTTTATGCAGCATATTATTTCATGCAGAAATATTATTTCACCTTTTTAGTCTGACAAAAACTATAAAGGATGACAACAAATTCTGTTGACAAGGTTGTGGGAAACAGACACTCTCATACATTGCTGAAGGGAAGGCAAACTGGTACAACCCTTCTAGAGGGGATTTGGCAAGATTACATATACACTTACCTTTTGACCCGGCAATCCCATTTCTAGGAATCCAACCTGAAGATACGTCTCCACCATTATGAAAATACATATGCACAAAGTTATTTATGCAGCACTTTTTTAATTGCAAAATAATGTAAACAACCTATATGCACTTTGATAAGAGGGCAATTAAACTATATGTAAAAAGTAGAATAGTGGGTCCTCCCACATCTCCCAAGATGTCCACATCCTAATACATGGAAATTGTTTATATATTATCTTATGTGGCAAAAGTGACTTTTGCAGATAGGATTAAGGCTAAGAACCTTGAGACAGGAAGATTATCCTAAGGTATCCAGATAGATCCAGTCTATAATCACGAGGCCTTAAAAGCTGAAACACTTTCATAGAGATGCAACATTACTGGCTTTGAAGACGGAGGAAAGGCCATGAGCCAAGGAATGTGAGTGGCCTTTACAAACTTGAAAAGGCATGAAACAGATTTTCCCCTAGATCTTCAGAAAGGAATGCAGACCTGCTGACACTTCGATTTTAGCCACATGAGACCTGTGTTGGACTTCTGACCTACAGAACTGTAAGGTAATAAATTTGTACTGTTTAAATCACATTTGTGTTAATTTGTTATAATGGCAGTTGAAAACTAATACAGTGGAAAACTGGTAAAAATTAGAATTACGCTTGTGTTTAGGTCAGCATGACACCTGTGTTTATTTCTTAGTTTTCATAACCATACTATGGTTATATAAGATGATAACATTAGAGGAAGCTGGGCAAAGGAAAACTGTGCTATTTTTCCAAATTTTTTATAAATCTAAAATTACTTCATATCGAAAGGAAAAATAATCAAGGATTCCTTCCCTCGTCAGTGTCCTTTCCCCACTCTACCTCATTAACATCCCCTTAAGAAGTTCTCATGTCTTCTTTTTATTTGTGAATTTCCAACCAAGGTTTTAATCCAGTGGTTCCCAAACCATATGTCCACATAAAGACTTGTTCATAAATGTTTATGGCAACTTTATTAATATCCCAAAACTGGAAACAACTCAAATGTCCATGAGTTGACAAATGGTTAAACAAATTTTGGTGTACTCATACAATGGAATAAAAAGTAGCAAACTACTTATACATGCAACAGCATGCATAAATTTGAAAAACATTATGCTAAGTGAAAAAAACTACATACTGCCCAATTCCATTTATGTGACATTGTGGAAAAGATAAAACTATAGGGACAACTCAGATTAGTGGTTTCCAGGGACCGAGGATGAGAGGAAGAGACTGACTACAGAGAGGCATGAAGACATTTTTGGGGTGATAGAAACGTTCTGTATCTCACTTATATTAGTACAGTATACATTTGTCAAAACTCATCAAGCTGTACATGCAAAAATAGTAACTTGTTTTTTGTAAATCACACCTCGGTAAACCTGTTTTGAAAGACATGTTTTAAAACAAAATATGTAAAAAGTTGGACATAAAAGGTTTGAAATAATATAACAAGAAGATAATAAAAATCTGGCATAACAGATTCATGAAAATGAATTTCTAAGAATGTAATTAGTTAATAAAGTATGCTTGTATCTTCCATTGGCCCCCTCTAGCAAATCTTAACATATCAATATGTGTTTTAACATGTTATAACGTATAACACCTATAATATATATTTTATATGTTAACGTAATTATACATAATATAGCATAATAACATCAGTATGTCAACATCAATTAGATCTGATTAATGGATATGTGTTTATTAACTTCTGTGCTTTGTATGTTTAAAAGTTTCATAATAAAAGTTTTAGTTTGCTTAATTAAAAAAGAATCACATTGAATCCTTCTTAAAAATGTAGATCACTGTGCCTTGATCCCAAAAATTATAATATATTAGATCCCAGCTAGAAAAATAATTGTGCTTTATGACAGAAGCTTTCCTCTTTCCTTTTGGTGCTTAAATTTGGGGAAAAAATAAAAGAAAAAAGAAAAAAACCTACTAGGGGATAAACTCTACTGAAACTAAATTATAATGCACTTTACAACTATTTCTTGTTGTTATTCTTGTCATCTACAGTTTCCCTTCCTGTTTGGACTCCCAAATAACCAGAAGATAAACTAAGTAAAATATAAAGACTACAAAGTAGACTTTAATGATTTTAGTTACTCTCCTCCTTTTTCCTTGTTAAGTTTTTAGAATTCTGTTTTAATCTAGTGACTATCTACAAGTTTCTAAGTTATATTAGGAAAGCAAGGAAGGGAATTTTTTATATATGACACAGCTTTTTTTCTCAAGTAATTACAATCCATGATAAAATGAACTACAATATGTAAAATACATGGAGGTTTTTAATTTACTAATAAACTAAAACCTGAAAAGCAAGACTGAAAACAATTTTCACCTGGGTCCTTTCTAGTTGACATGTGGCATTTTCTTATTGTGAATCAGATAACATTTTGAGAAATTGCCATTTAAAAATACTTAATCACTTAGAATTGCTATAACATTGTCTTAATCCCTTGTGTGGTCACTGATGTGAAAAGGTCTCAAGCAGAATTAAAGCAGGGTTTTGTTGCACATCCCTGTATTTTTTGTGTGAAAGGTGATGACATGTTACTCTGTCTCCACTTCTCCCTGTCTTAAGGGAATGCGGCAGTGCTAGGATGCCGGCAAGCATTGTCCCTTACTACCCCCACTGAGGCTTCTGAGAGCAGTTGCATAGCAGCAGTTTTATTTCAGTTACCAGTCATTCCCAGCTAGCTGAGTTCAGTCTTCAGGGAATACTCCAATTTGCAGGTGGCCAACAACTTTAGTTATCATTGTCTTAACATTTACCAAGCTCCAAAGAAAGGCAGTATTTGGCTTTTTCTTTCACTGACAGTTGCTAATTTTAAACCTTATTTTGAAAGAAAATAATGAGTACCAACTAATTAAGTCACTTTAGTTGTATCAATTGCTATGACAATATAGCTTTTTTTTTAATGATGAGCTTTTTACTATTTTAAGAATTATAAATGGTAGCAACAGCATTTCAAAAAATTGGATAGGGTAGGATTTGTTTTGAGTGTTTATTAGTATGCTTTCAGATTAGATTGGTGTCAGAAGGGTGAAATCAGTTTATTTACATTCTTTCTTTCTTTAGTTTCCATTTATTCTGTTGGATTTTTAGAATACACTTAAAGGAACGTTATTCACATTCTTCACATTTTTATAAGGCATGGATATCATAACTATGTAAAAGAGAAAAAAGCATTTTCCTCTTGGCATCCACCTATTTTTAAATTTTATATTTGGATTTTTTTATTTTATACTTAGTAACCACAGAATCAGTTACATGTAAAAGCCATTTCAATAAGGGAATCCTAGGGGCAAATTCTTGTAAGTCAAATGACACACTGATAGTTTTTTGTTTTTTGGGTTTTGTTTTTTGTTTGTTTGTTTGTTTTGCTTTTTTTACCCTCATTTTGAATTGTCATATTACATTTCTGGCTATTTATGATAAGTAATTCTATAATAAGGTATTTGTAGAAGTTACATATAATACATATGGTGAAAATAAGTTATGTTATAACACTTAAAGTATTTAATGGGGCACTAGAGTGTCGAGAATTCATATAGAACAGTGGTTAAAAAGAAAGGGTTCCAGTGTGAGGTTGCCTACGGTCAAAGTTCTCCTCTGCCATTTAGCATCTGTGTGAACTTGGGAAAGTCATACACCTTCTGTATTAGTCTGTTTTCACACTACTATAAAAAATTACCTGAGACTGGGTAATTTATAAAGAAAAGAGGTTTAATTGACTCACAGTTCCACAGCCTTAACAGGAAGCATAACTAGGAGGCCTCAGGAAACTTAACAGTTATAGCGGAAGGAGAAGAAGGACATTCTTCACATGGAGGCAAGGGAGAGCAAGGGGTGAAGTGCCACACTTTTAAACCATGGGAGGTGGTGGGAGAAGATTGGATCATGGGGGAGGATTTTTCCTATGCTGTTCTCATGATAATGAGTAAGTGAGTTCTCAGATGATCTGAGAACATACTGTGTACATTTTTTCAGTTCTGAAAGCAATTTTTGAGCCCCCACGAAATACCAGATATCAAACCTACCCTGGAAACACAAAGATTGCAGCATTTAGTGAGGATGACAAATAAGTGGGCATGCACTGTCCTAAATGTAAGGCTAGCTCTCTATAAATGCTTGGCAGCACTGAGGAGGAGCGAGCCTGTAATCAAGAGCAGGGTCAGGGCATGTCAAAAAGACAACCCAGAAGAGATTATTCCTAAACTCAATCAGAAAGGATGATCCAGCCAGGGAGAAGGAAGAGAATACGAGCAGTGGCAAACATACATGGTGAATATAGAGAATTACAGGTATTTTGAGTTAGTAGAGGATAAAGTATAAAGGGGAATGACCAGGGATCTGGCTGGAATGGTTAAGTAGTTACCAGATGATACTATATCCTACAGGCAGAACTCTTACCAGGGCCATTCTTAGCTGCTTTTAGGTACCTTTGGGTTAATTACACATACCTTGATCAGTCAGATGCATCCAGGGAAGAAGGATTGCATGACACAAAGCATAGTGACCTGAAACTGTAAGGAATTGTTCAGAAGGGACAATGGGCAACTGGGCATGACATGTACTTTGTTGTTTCTCAGAAGAGGATAATGCTGGAAGGCTCAGTACATGGTTGGTCTAAAATGGAGGGATAGTAGAAACCAAGCCAAGCCAAGCTTGGAAACAGTGAATTTTTTGTGGTTTCATCCTATACAGCTATGTGGTCTTCCTAAAGAGCTTTGTCATGGCACCAGGAAGATTGACTTAAACATTGTTTTAATTCTTATTTTTGATAACTAATCATTAAAAAAATGGAAAGTGTTGGTAAATAAATAGCTTCAGATGATTAGCTATGGAATCTAGGGAGAAGGAAAAGAGAACAGGAAAAAAACAAGGGACAGGGAGAAAATGAGGTGGCCTAGAAAGTGGAGGTTGAAAATGAGGTGGTCCAGAAAGTAGAGGTTTCTAGGTTGAAGAATAGGTTCTTGTGGAGAAAGAGATATATGAAAGACATGTGATTAGGGAGAAAAATCAGAAAAAAATTACTGTTTAAGATATCTGAGATGGAGGATCTCTGAATGATGATAAGATCTAGTGTGTAGATAAAAGAGTGTGTGGCTGAAATGTAGAAGAATGAAGCAGGATCCTCATCTCTCACCTTATACAAAAATCAACTCAAGATGGATCAAAGGCTTACATCTGAGACCTGAAACCATAAGAATTCTAGAAGATAACACTGGAAAAACTCTTCTAGACATTGACTTAGGCAAAGAGTTCATGACCAAGAACCCAAAAGCAAATGCAACAAAATCAAAGGTAAATAGATGGGACCTAGTTAAACTGAAAAGCTTCTGCACAGAAAAATAAATTAGAATCAGTAAATAGACAACCCACAGAATGGGAGAACATGTTTGCAAATCATGCATCTGCCAAAGGACTAATATCCAGAATCTACAGGGAACTCAAATCAGCAAGAAAAAAAACAAATATCCTCATCAAAAAGTGAGCAAAGGACATGAATGCACAATTCTCAAAAGAAGATATACATGGCCAACAAATATGAAAAAAAAATGCTCAACATCACTAATTATCAGGGAAATGCATATCAAAACCACAATGAGGTACCACCTTACTCCTGCAAGAATGGCCATAATTAAAAATAAAATAAATAACAGATGTTGACGTGGATGTGGTGGAAAGGGAACACTTTTACACTGCTGGTGGGAATGTAAACTAGTGCCCCCACTATGGAAACAGTTTAGAGATTCCTTAAAGAATTAAAAGTAGAACTGCTGTTTGACTTAGCAATTCCACTACTCGGTATCTACCCAGATGAAAAGAAGCCATAGGAAAAAGACACTTGCACACACGTTTATAGTAACACAATTCGCAATTGCAAAAATATAGAACTAGTCTAAATGCCTATCAACTGAGTGGATCAAGAAAATGTGGGGGGGGTATGTGTGTATACACACACACCATGGAATACTCAGGAACTATATATATATATACACATACATACATTCACACACACACACACACACACCCACACACACCACAGAATACTACTCAGTCACAAAAAGAAACAAAATAATGGCATTCACAGCAACCTGAACAGAGTTGGAGACCATTATTCTAAGTGAAGTAACTCAGCAATGGAAAACCAAACATTGTATGTTTTCACTTATAAGTGGGAGCTAAGCTGTGAGGACACAAAGGCATAAGAATGATATAATGAAAAAAAAAAAAGAATGATATAATGGACTCTGGGGACTTGGGAGGAAGGGTGGGGCGTGAGGGATAAAAGGCTACACATAGGATATGGTCTACACTGCTCGGATGATGGATACACCAAAATCTCACAAATCACCACTAAAGAACTTTTCCTTTCAATCAAACACGACCTGTTCCCCTAAAACTATTCAATAAAAATAAAAATTAAATTTAAGAAAATGAGTGGGTGGAGAGACGACATGCAAAAATGGCACACCTCAGGTGGCTGAAGGAGAGAATGTATTTGGTGTCTGCCATATCTTTGCATCCTTCAGTGACACTTTTGTTCTTGTCACTGATCTTTCTGGCAAAGCAACCATCTGTCATGTGACTGGTGAGATGAAGGTAAAGGCAGATCCAGATGAATCCTCTCCATATGCTGCTATGTTGGCTGCCCAGGATGTGGCCCAGAGGCGTAAGGAACTGGTGACACTGCCCTACACATCAAACTCCAGGCCACAGGAGGACATAGGACCAAGATGCCTAGACCTGGGGTCCAGTCAGCCCTCAGAGCCCTTGCCCCCTTGGGTGTAAAGATTGGGTGGATTGAGGATGTCATCCCCATCCCCTCTGACAGCATCCACAGGAAGGGGGCTTGCCATCTGTGAACAAGACTCCTCAAAATATTTTCTGTTAATAAACTGCCTCATGTTAAAAAAAAAAAAAAAAAAAAAAGCAAGTGTCAGAGGGGAGGATACTGAGTAATGGAGTCAAGGATGAAGCTAGGGTACCATACATCACTATTGGTTATTTTCTAGCATGGTGTTAAGAGACAGAAATATTACAAGCTAGGAGTTAAAGTTCTTAATGAACAAAGGAAAGTGAAAGAGAGATGAAGAATCCTAAATCAAGATGGCATGTACTTCAAAAAATATGTATTTACTCCACGATTTAATGGAATATCAGTTTGGAAACAATGATGGTAAGCTAGATAAAGTCCAGCTACCTCTTCCTGAGTACCATTGAATATTGGGTAATGGAGAACGAAAAACTTCAACTAAATAGGGCTCTGGGAAAACAGTTTCTCAGGTTAAAACTATGCTTCACTTACGTCAAGGAGACAGCAACAAAATTTTAAAAGGTTTCACTACTTCCATGAAGTGTTACTGACCATTCTCTGCCATCTTAACCTTTTCCTTATCTGTGTTCCTAAATCGGCCATAATTTTATGTATATATTTATTGAGGACTTACTAAAGCTTAAACACTGTGGTAGATGTTAAGGTAAATACAACACTATACCATCCCCTCAGAAGTTTAAATGCAAGATTTCTTGTTTCCGGATAGGAAAGCCTCAACTTTAATTTATAAATTGCTGGAGGCTTAGTGTGGCCAAGTCTGAGAGAGAAAAACTGCAGGAGTATTCATTAATGGGGAGGCCACAATTTTTAGAAATTTTACTCCTGGAGTCCTACCAGGTTCTCACAGTGAATATCTGAGAAAATTTCCCTCATTTTTCCAACAGGGAGTGGGAAAAGGAGCTGCTTTGAAATGCACCAGAGCATTCTCTTTTTCTTTTTGTTTCTTTTCATTTCCTTTTTCTTTTAAGATGAAGTCTTGCTCTGTCTCCAGGCTGGAGTGCAGTGGTACGATCTCTGCTCACTGCAACCTCCACCTCCCAGGTTCAAGTGATTCTCCTGCTTCAGCCTCCTGAGTAGCTGGGATTACAAGCACATGCCAGCATGCCTGGCTAATTTTTGTATTTTTAGTAGAGACGGGGTTTCGCCATGTTGGCCAGGCTGGTCTTGAACTCTTGACCTGAGGTGATCCGCCCACCTCAGCCTCCCAAAGTGCTGGGATTACAGGCATGAGCCACCGCACCTGGCCTATTCTGCTTTCCTTAAGAAAGTCTGCTCTCAGAAGAAACTAACCAGAGCCTAACTGATAAGAAGGAAGGGAAATTACTCAATTCCAGTCCTCTCTAGCTTTCTTTCTTCTACCTAAATGGAGTGGGTGGGGTGAGAGGCACTGAGAAGCACTTGTGAAGTTCACAGTCCAGAAACAGAGACTCATTAAAAAACTGAGATCTAATCACAGGACTTCAGAATGTTTTCCCCCACCTTACCACTACATTACTAAAGGCTTGTTTACTGCAGTTCTTTCACCTAGTACATCATATCCAGCTAGCAAGAAAAAAAATTACAGAACATGCTAAAAGGCAGAAAACACACTTTAAAGACACAGAGTAAGCCTCAGAACCATCCTCAGACAGAGGAAGCATCAGAACCAACCTCAGATAATATTGAAATTATCGACCAGAAATTCAAAACAATTATGATTAATATACTAAGGGCTCTAATGGATAAAGTAGATAGCATGCAAGAACAGATGCGCAATATAAGAAGAGAGAGAGAAATTATAAAAAAGAACCAAAAGGAATGCCGGAAATCAAAAACACTGTAGCAGAAATGAAGAATGCCTTTTATGAGGATATTAGTAGACAGGACACAATTTAGGAAAGAATCTCTAAGCTTGAGGATATCTCAGTAGAAACTGGCAAGACTGAAAGCAAAAAAAAAAAAAGACTGCAGAAAAAAACAAAAATGGAACAGACCCAGAGGAACCTTAAGTACATATTACTAAGTAAAACAAGGCAATCTAAAAATGCTGCAGTATGATTCCAACCACAGATGCTCCTTGACATACAATGGGGTTATGTCCCAATAAACCCATCGTAAGTAAAAAATATCCTAAATTGAAAACTATTTAATGTCCTGATAAACCCATCATAAATCAATAAAATTGTTCAAACCATCTTAAGTGGGGGACTATGTATGACATTCTAGAAAAGGTAAAACTGGAAATCAGTAAAAAGATCACTGTTTGCCAGGGGTCAAGATGTGGGAGGTGTTGAGGGATGAATAGGCAGAGCACAGAGGATTTTTTTCAGTAGTAAATATTCTCTGCATAATACTGTAATGGTGGATGCATGTCACCGTTCATTTGTCCTAACCCATAGTATGCACAACACCAATAACAAATCCTAAAGTAAACTGTGGAATGTGGGTGATGATGATGTCAATGTGTAGAGGGTAGGAGAGGAATACTGGAAATCTTTGTATCTTCTACTCAGTTTTGCTGTGAATCCAGAACTAAGTTAAGAAGTACTCCCTTTGCTTCTATCTTCTGAAAGACATTGTAGAGAATTGGTATCATTTCTTCCTTTAATGTTTCATAGAATTCACCAGTGGAACCCATCTGGGTCTGGTGTTTCTGTTTTGTAAGGTTATTAATTGTTGATTCAATTTCTTTAATATATATAGGCCTATTCATATTGTCTATTCCTGTATAAGTTTGGCAGATCGTGTCTTTCAAGGAATTAGTCTGCTTCACCTAGATTATCCAATTTGTAGACATAGAGTTGTTCATAGTATAGACATAGAGTTGTTCATAGTATTCCTTTTTTATCATTTTAATGTCTATCGGACATGTTGTGATGTCCCCTCTTTTATTTCTAATATTAGTCATTTGGGTCCTCTCTATTTTTTTCTTAGTTAGCCTGGCTAGAGACTTACAGATTTTTTTTTTAATCTTCATAAGGTACCAGCTTTTTATTTTATTGATTTTCTCTATTGATTTATTGTTTTTAGTTTCACTGATTTATGAACTAATTTTTATTTCTTTTCTTGTGTTTTCTTTGGATTTAATTTGCTCTTTTTTTTTTTTTTTTCTAGTTTCCTAAGGTACAAACTTAGTATTGGGTTTAGATCTTCCTTCTTTTCTAGTATATGCATTCAGTGCTATAAATTTTCCTCTTAGCACTGTTTTCACTGCATCCCACAAAATTTTGATGTTATGTTTTCATTTTTATTTTGTTCAGTTCAAAGTATTTTTAAATTTCTCTTGAGATTTCTTCTTTGATCCATGTGTTTAGAATGTTGTTTAATCCCCACATATTTTGGGATTTTTCTAGTCATCTTTCTATTACTGATTTCTAGTTTAATTCCATTGTGGTCTGAAAGAACACATTGTATGATTTCTATTCTTTTAAATTTATTAATGTATGTTTTATACCTAGAATTTGATCTGTCTTGATGAATGTTCCATATAAACTTGAGGAATCTATATTCTGCTGTTGTTGGATATAAAGCAGTCTATAGATGTCAATTATATTCACTTGATTAAATGGTATTTTGGAGTTCAACTATGTCCTGACTGATTTTCTGCCTGCTAGATCTGTCCACTTCTGATAGAGAGGTGTTGCAATCTTCAACTATAATAGATTTATTTATTTCTCCTAGCAACTCTTACCAGTTTTGCCTCATGTCTCTTAACACTCTGTTATTAGGCATATACACATTAAGGCTGTCTTCTTGGAGAATTGACCCCTTTATCATTATATAATGCCCTTCTTTATCCTTGGTATGCTTTCTTGCTCTAATATCTGCTCTGTCTGAAATTAATATAGTAATGCCTGCTTTCTTTTGATTAATGTTGGCATAGTACATTTTTTCTCGCCATTTACTATTAATCTTTAGGTGCCTTTATCTTTAAAGTGAATTTATTGTAGATGATATATAGTTGGGTCTTGTTTTCTGATCTACACTGACAATCTCTTTTAACTGGTATATTTAGACTGTTGACATTCAAAGTGATTATTGATTTAGTTGGATTTCTAACCATATTTGTTAACTGTTTTCTGTTTGTTGCCTTTGTTCTGTGTCCTTATTTTTGTCTTCCATTGTTTATAAACTTTCATGATTTTGTTGAGTGATTTCTTTGATTCCATTTTCTCTCCTTTCTTAGCATATCAGTTATTCTTATTTTTTAAAAAATTTAATGGTTTCCCTAGAATTTGCAATATAAATTTATAACTAACCTAAGTTCACTTTCATGTAACACTATACAACTTCATAGATAGTATGAGTATCTTATAATAAAATAATCTTAATTCTTCCATCTTATCATTTGCATAATTGATACTCATTTCACTTACATATAAGTATACATAAGAATATATATTATATACATAAGCATACATAATTGAATGCATTGCTATTATTACTTTGATATTAAATCAGTTAAGAAAAATAAAATATTTTATTTTATTTTCACTTATTCTATACTCTTCCTTTTCTTATGAAAGACCAATTTCTGAACTATATTGTTTTCTTTCTCTCTAAGGAACTTCTTTAAACATTCTTTGCAAGGTTGGTCTACTGGCAAAAAATTTCCTCAATTTTTTCATGTATGTGAAAGCTTTATTTCACCTTCACCTTTGAAGGATAGTTTTGCAGGTTATAGAATTCTAGGTTGGTAGTTTGGGTTTTTTTTTTCTTCTCAACACTTTAATATTTCACTCCATTCTCCTCTTGTTTGTATAGTTTCTGAGGAGAAGCCAAATGTAATTCTTATTTTCGTTCCTCTTTGATTTTCTGTAGTTTGAAAATTACATGCCTCAGTGTAGTTTTGGCATTTTGGGGTTTTTTTCTTTTGGGAGATTTTGGGGGGTTTCTTGACATCTATGCTACTTAGTATTTTCTGAGCTTCCTGGATCTTTGGTTTGGTATATTAAGTTGGGAAAATTCTCAGTCATTATTGTTTCTGATTTTCTTCTGTTTCTTTCTCTTTTCTTTTTTTGGTATTCCCATTATACACATTATGCCTTTTGTAGCTGTCCTTTAGTCTTTGGATATTCTTTTCTGGGTTAATTTTGTTTGTTCTGCTTGCTTTTCTGTTTTGGATGTTTGTATTGATATTTCCTCATGCTTAGAGAGAGATTCTTTCTTCAGCCATGTCCAGTCTACTAATAAGCCTGCGTTTAAATTTATATTTAGTGTCTAAATTCTGTATTAAGTGGCAATTTCCTTGAGAGCAGAGTTTGTTTATCTTTGATTTCCTTACAACTCTTAGTAGAGTTCTCTATAACAAATATACATAAATTTTATTAAATACATGTATCATATTGTGTCATATGAGGTATATATGTGCCATAAAAAGGTAGAATTAAATTACTAGATGAGTGAACATCTACTAATAGTGTCTCAGTCAAATGCTTAACTATATTTTCATTAGAAATGTATTTATGTGGCTGGGTGTGATGGCTCAAGCCTGTAATCCCAGCACTTTGGGAGGCCAAGGCAGGTGGATCACAAGGTCAGGAGTTCAAGACCAGCCTGGCCAATATGGGGAAACCTTGTCTCTACCAAAAACACAAAAATTAGCTGGGCATGGTGGCAGGTACCTGTAGTCCCAGCTACTCTGGAGGCTGAGGCAGGAGAATCACTTGAACCTGGGAGGCGGAGGTTGCACTAGGCCGAGATCACATCACTGCACTCCAGCCTGGGTGACAGAGTCTGAGACTCAGTATCAATAAAAAAAAAAAAAAAAGAAAGAAATGTAATGTATTTATGTCTGATTTTTGGTAGACTTCTTGGCCTGAATCTCAACCTAGGTTTTTGAACCAATGCTAAACAATCCTATTACAGTTCTGTAAACTTAAGTCTGGCTTGCTGACTACATTTATTAGCAAATGTGGTGACTCATTCTGATTGAGTCATAGAAAATAGTGTATAAAACCTTTGCCTTTATGTACTAATGACTATGACTAATGACAGTGACTCTCCCTAATGACATCAAGATTGTACAGTTGACTCTTGAATAACATGGGGGTTTGTGCAGTTGAAAATTTGCATGTAACTAGAGAAAAGAAAGTGTCATTGAGAAAATCATAAGGAAGAGAAAATATACTATTTACTATTTATTAAGTGCAAGTGAATCATGAAGATCTTCGTCCTCATCATCTTCACATTGAGCCTTTCCCCCTAACCTCCAGTCAATTTCTACATACCTATAATAAGCTGCAGTAAAAAACAGTAAAAACAGGTCTATATGATATATACTAGGAGTTTTTGCACTTACTCCTTGGGTGACAAGAACAATAGGCTATAACATTATAAGTATTTTCTTTCAGTAATCTGAATAGTTCTGCTTCTGATTTGAGTAAGTTTCCATTTTTCTCTATTGAAAGGAGCAATGTCTACATGTTTAAAAAACAGTTGACTTGGTAAAGCACTGTGGTAGCCAATACTGATGTTCACCAAATACTTTCAGTTCCCTTTCAGAGTACCTGGTAGTTGTATGTATATCTTCTCCCATTGAAGTTAGATATGGTCATGTGATTGTTTTGTCAGTGAAATGAGACCAGAAGTTACATGAAGCTTTAAGAGCTAGTACATGTACATAATTTGCTATTTTACCTTTATCCTGCTGCAAAAAACTGTAGAAGTGCAGATACGGAGCCTCCCTTAGCCTAAGTTCCTGAGTAACAACAGCCTAGACAAGATCCCACCCCCTCAGTTGACCTGCTCGTGGACATGTAACATATTTTATGCCACTAAGATTGCGAGAATAATTAGATAAGCATAACCTAGCTTATCCTGATTAAGATAGCCTTCACCCCAAAACAGCAGGCTTTGGTAGTTACTAGAGGAATATAAAAGATTTGATGTGCTAATATTGGCCTAGTATTTCTTTTTCTTCCTTACAGAAATGTTTATTTTACACAGCTTATATAAAATGATATTCATCTCAAGGTAATTAGAGTCATTCTCCATGTGACAAAATATTTTTCTTTGAATTAGAATCTTTGCTTGAGAAATTTTATTTTATTTATTTATTTTTTTGAGTTAGGGTTTCATTCTGTTGCCCTGGCTGGAGTGCAGTCAGCCATCACTCACTGCAGCCTTGAACTCCTGAGCTCAAGCATTCCTCCCACGTCAGCTTCCTGAGTAGCTGGGAGTAAGGCATATGCTACCACGGCTAGCTAAGTTTTTTTTTAATTTTATTTTTGTAGAGATGGGATCTTGCCACGTTGCCCAGGCTGGTCTTGAATTCCTGGCCTCAAGCTATCGTCTCGGCTTAGCCTTTTCAAAATGCTGGGACTACAGATGCGAACCACTGTGCCTGGCTGAGAAACTTTAATATGCTTCTATAAGACGTTTTTTCACCTGCCAGTGATAGAATTGTAAATTTCTTGAAAGTAGTGACCATCATCATTCATTTTTGCATTTAACCTTTTATTCAACAAATTTTTGTTGAGTGCTCATTATTTGCCAGGTACAGAGTCTAGGAAGATGTTCAGGGAACTCTGGATAGTTTGGTAAAACTGGCAGGCAGCAGGCAGGGCCAAAGACCGTAAAGCACTTTATTAACAAAGTTAACGTCTGGATACTTTAACAATTTCATAAGTGATCCATACTTCACTTTAAAATAATTTAGCCACATTCAGTACTTAAGTTTACAATGCCATATTCAAGGTGACATAGACCAAGTTTTAATGCTTCTGAGACCACCAGTATATAATATTTTACAACTTAGTTAACTCCTTTTTACATATCTTAGAGCTACGCTTTTTCTCTTCTATCAGTATCTTTTAATTCCTCCAATGTGCCAAGTACCTTCTCACCTGGGGATCTTTGCACATGCCATTTTCTTTGCCTGTTTTCCCTTATTTTAGGAAAGCACTGGATGTCATTTCTATTGAAATTGCTGGTACCATCTTCATAGAAAGAATATATTTGTCTATGGCTGGTACCATCTTCATAGAAAGAATATATTTGTCTATGTTAGCTTGTTGTGCTTTTAGAAATCTACCAGTAAAATAGGAAGTTCTTCTCCCATAGCTAATGTAAAAATTGAGAAATAAGAAATTAGGTGCTGTCAGAAAGTTTAATTATCTCAGTTATCACAGAAGAAAATTTTCTCATCACATTGCCAGGTGGTTTCAAGCAACTATTATTTACAAAATTAAAAAACTTAAAAGCTAGGTTCTATTTCTGGTCTTTACTGTAAAAATCTAAATACCTTTTGCAAAGGTAGTGTGGAAGAATAAGGTTCCCTTTTCGTTCTCTCTCCCATCATCTTCTGCCTTTCCTTCTAGGGATTCTTCAGCAAGCGCCTGAAAGGCTCCATCAAAAGGACCAAAAGCCAGTCAAAGCTTGACAGAAACACGAGCTTTCGGCTCCCATCCCTTCGCAATACAGATGACAGGTAGGAGGTTAACTTTCTTAAAACAAAAAAAGCAGTTTGAGAGTGAATTTTGTTAAGGCATTTTGGTCTTTTCTGAATTTGAATCAATGACAAATAGAAAAATACAATAAAAAAGTGACTTTTATGTCTTGTTCATATTAAGGCAAGATACAAAATATTGACTCAACTACTCAGCCAGTTTAAGAATCTTATAATATTGGAGAGTTTGTTAAGCGGTTTCTATAGAATCAAGTTATAATGGTGAGAGGTGTATCATTTATTTTGTTTTTGGTAGAATGACTATAAAGAATAATGATTTATGATAGCTAAAAAGTTTCAGCACTGTCACGGGATGCTTCATACTGTTGTTATCTTGTTTCATCTTTATAATAACCCTATATGATAAATGTTATATCATCACCATTTGATAGATGAAGAACCTGAAGCACAGAGAGGTTAAATGATCTTACCCAGGGCTATGGTATTTGAACTTGCGCAGTTTGGGTCGAGTCCCTGCTTTTTACTGCTACATTCTGTATGTACAGCATATGAAATCGGCCTTGTTGGTTTGTAATTACAACTAGAAGACATGTGCTGAAAAGGAAGCCTGGATGGATTTCAATAATTAGGACCACTAGCTTGACTAATCCTCAAATGTACAGCTCCCTAAGGGTGATACCCTTTGAAAACCATTGAATGTGTGCTAACACATTTTTGACACGTTATGTCTCCATAATGTTCAAAATTTTGGAAATAGTGCTTGTGGTATCGGCATTAGCACATCATTATCGCCACCAGTATTTATTAAGTACTTATTCTATGCCATACATGTTAAATGTAGTCTCTCATGTAATGCATCAACCCCAGATACTATTATTGTCATTTAAAAGATGAGGAACTGAGGCATAAACAGTTTGAGAAACTTGCCCAGGGTCACATAGCTAGTAAGTAGTAGAGCTGGGCTTTGAACTCAGGTCTGCCTCTCATATGTGATACTCTTATTTATGGGTTTTGTTTTGTTTTGTTTTCAGTAAGTGACTTTGTTTTCAGTTATCTACCTGGAAAACAGAAATAAAATTATAGATTTGCCAAGCAGATGATTACTGTCTTTATTTTGTAAATGAAGGGACTTGATGAGGGACTATTGCTTTATTAGCTCTTCTTGAACCAAATTAAAGGTGCTCTGTGAAATTTGCAAGTCAGCCCAATTTGCAGTATGTGTATTTATGTTATTATTATCTCTTTTATACTTCTTTGTTTTAAGGTAATCATAAAAAATGATTTTTAAAATACTTTTCTTAGTTTCCTATTATTCTATCATTTTCATAATTCCAGGAAATCAAAGCATTTTATGAATATCTCAAAAAAATAGAATAGTAATTTTTTTCAGATTTTTGATTCTTAAGAACAAATATGTTGTGCAGCAAATAAAACACTCCCAATTCAATAGCCAGTGTCTTAAACTCTGCAACATCATATGGAAACTTGGGAGACAAGACTTTTTTTTTATAAGCTTACCTTATTTTTTAACCTTGCACTAAATATTTCCCTCTTCATTTCAAACAAAGAGCTCTCTCCTATTCCGTTTTGTTTTAGGTTGCCCATGGGAACTGCTTGATTGAATTACCAAGAGATTATATTCTCCCAGAGTTTCTTGTTTTGCTATTATATAGTTACTATATTTTTAGCCTTTCCAGTAATCTAAATGTATTATTTGTGACTTTTATGCTGTTATGCTTTAATCAATAGCAAAGTCTTTCTTAAGTACAGCACAATAAAAAAGTGCTAGTAAATCTCAAATGTTAAGTAACCCTTTTAATTTATCAACTCCATTTGAATAGCAGAGGTTTTCTGTACAGATATTTTTCAAAAAAACTTTATTTTTGTATAGGGATGTACTCAATAGAGCTTGAATGTGTTACCATTTTTAAAAGAAGAGTCTTGTCTTCAGATCATGTGAACACTCAGAAATAGAGCTAAGGTACAAGATATTGATCAGCTGAGTTCTTTGAATTAGTGGCCTTATAGGTGTGAACAAGTATTTTCTGAAGACCTCTGATTTTCTTGGTTCAGATGCATCAATTGCTGAAGTCAACCACTTCTTTCAAAATGGTATACAGATCGGGCATGGTCACTCACGCCTGTAGTCCCAGCACTTTGGGAAGCTAAGGCAGGCAGATCACAAAGTCGGGAGCTCGAGACCAGCCTGGCCAATATAGTAAAACCCCATCTCTACTAAAATTACAAAAATTAGCTCTCCTCTCTTCCTTTCTCCGCCATCGTGATGTGTGCTTTACTCCGATTCTCGCCATGTCTTCTCACAAGACTTTCAGGATTAAGCGATTAAGCGATTCCTGGCCAAGAAACAAAAGCAAAATCGTCCCATTCCCCAGTGGATTCGGATGAAAACTGGTAATAAAATCAGGTTCAACTCCAAAAGGACATTGGAGAAGAACCAAGCTTGGTGTGTAAGAAATTACACATGCGATGGCACACATATTTATGCTGTCTGAAGGTCACAGTTGTGTTACCAAATCAAGCTGAAAAATGTCACCGCCATCTGGAGAAGTTTGAACAGTTTCCTTTCTGTATCTGTTATGAAGGCATTAGTTAGTATAACCCACAGTGCTTCCATTATTCATGTTAAAAAAAAAAAAAAGTAGAAGGTTTTGGTTGCCTGGGTTCAGTAATAAATATGTGAGACCTTTCACTTCTTAAAAAAAAAAAAAA